CCCGGGGGCCGCGCGGGCCCAGGGCGCCGAGTTCCCCGAGCTGTGCAGGTGGGTGGCCCGCCCGGGCGCAGGCTTCGCTCGCGGTGCCCCGGGCGCGCACTGGGGCTGGGTTGAGGGCGGAGGCGCTCCGGGGAGGGGCTGGGCTCCCCGAGTCGCTTCTAGTCCAGCCTTGGGTCTCCCCGTTCCCGAGGGAGAGTTGCCCGCGTGGTGGTGAAGGGAGAGAGGCCGAGGGAGGGGTCGTGCGGGCGGGGGCTCGGGGGTCGCGGCGTCCTGGCGCTGGCCCGGGGGGCCACTGCCTGGCCACTTGTGGCTGTCACTAAGTCTGGGGCTGCTTTGTGTGCGAGGGGCAGGCTGCCGCGACCCGTCCCGGTGACACACTGCGGGCACCCTCACGCCCGGCGCCTGCCCTCTCACAGCGGAGCGCCAGCGAAAGTTGGAGGACGCAGGAACTACAGCTTTGCTTTGTTCCCACTCCACGTTTCCTCAAAGTTCCACCAGCGGGGCTTGGAGAGGCCCCTTCGTGTGGAAAGGCTCACCCGCACCAATGGCCTTGGAGTTGGGGTTTTGGTTTTATTGGCTGATTGATTTTCTCCATGTGGGTTTTCCATTTTTCTCTTTAAGTAGCCTTTCTGTAGAAGGTGACTTTTTTTTTTTTTTTGGTGGGGGACTCGGGGATGGCCATCCTCTGTTGGCTTTCAAGACTTCACCCTTCACTTCTCCGAGCCTAACTTCCTGTCTGGTTGCTCACATGATGTCATTGTCTCGTGTGGATTATTCTAGTGGAGTCTTTTGCTCTGGGAACCGTGATTGTATAATCGCTAATCCCATCGAGGACTCTTAGTGTCCTGTGATGGCCGGGAGTGCCAGGGCTGGGGAGCTGTTAGTGCTGACAATTTCCTGACCAACCCTCTCTGGACCGTTTAGGATGATGGAAAATCCAGCTTTTATTTATTTTTTAAACTTTTGTAGAGAGGAAGCAGGATGAAAAGTTCAGTAAGACTAGTGAGCAGTCCACGGTTCCCCCGGCACTGGCAAGTACTCAGAACGAAGCCAAGTTGAGCCCACTTTGAGCCGAACTTTGAGTTTGTGGTGGAGTTTATGGGGTTCTTATTCTTCCCTTGTATCAGAGATGGTCTCATTAGCACTCCCAGGTTCAGAAAATATTATCTGAAGGAGAGTGAGGCTGAGCTCACAATAGACACTCTTTGGAAAGACACATATTCTTTCTTTTCCCTTTTTTGGAAGGGAGAGGGCGGCGGGAGTGAGAGTTTTACAGCACCGAAGTTTATAGGCTAGTTAGCTGCTCGATGATACAAAGTTACTCAAGTAATGTGCATGACACAGAAAAGGGCGGCAACTTATACAACAAGGTCGGGTTGCAGCTGACATTGAAGGAGGAAGTTTTGGAATAATAGCTGCTGTGACCAACCTTATCTCTAAGAAATGAATCCAGCTGGGCTAGTGGTGTTGCAGTCTCGGTCTCGTTACAAATTGGAATTTATTTCTTAGGGGTTAAGGTTAAAGTTGGCCACATGGGCAGACCCATACTTTGTAACTAATGCAGAAGGAGCCCTTGCTTTTGCATTAGGTTAGTCATCACAGCCTCTAACCTGCGACGAGTACAAGCAACCTCATTTCCAGGTGGAAGATGGCCTCTCCGTTTAGTAGAAAATGGCCTTTGTGTCTTTAATACTTCTCCCTGTGTTCTTTGTGGCTATAACTTAGCGAATGCTAGCATGCTCTGCAGAGTGATATGCATGGTTAGTACGATGAATGTGCCCTGTGTGTCTGAGAATATCTTTAAAGTTGTTGCGATAACTTTTTCTTAGGACAGCAAACCGTCCGAGTCAGTTCAGAGGGTTTGCCCACATTTTTCCCCCTTGTCTGTTACTGCTCTGCGATTTCACATTGAGACCTCTCGAGAGCCATGTTAACAACACAATACCTGCCAAGTGAAGTTCTTCCTATCCGTACCTGTTTTAAATGGATACCTTGGCCTGAATACTTGTTAAACCTTTTTCTGGGGGAGTCGTAGTCAGAAATCTGTGTACTTTTTGAGACAACATTGGATAAAAGTTCCTTAACTCTGGCACACATTTGAAGAATGGGAATGTGAGCCGATCATTTTTTAGATCCAGTATGAAAAGTTCTACAAAATAGCACCAAAGCAGGATGTGTTTAGCTGCCTTTTTATACCATCCCTGGGCGTCCATTTGGCTGAAATGTAAGCAACTCACCCAGGTCTCCACTGAGTATGAAAAGTAGACTTTACAAGTGGTCCATTTGTTTGTGCAGCTAGTCTACGGCGGTAGTTCTCAGTGGACACAGGCTCACACTCCAAATGTTTATATATTGCTTGGTTGTAATGCAGAACGCATTTTTCCATTGAAATTGCCTCATTCATTGTGGTTTGGTGCCCACGGCAGTCCCCAGGAGGCCGTCATCCAAGCCACAGGTTTGCACTGTCCAGATTTAACGAGGGCCCTAAGAGTAAATTCTCGCCTCTCAAAAATGGAGTTAGGTTTCTGGGGACACAGCCTCTCCTTTAGAACCCGAGAGGGACTTTTCATCTGTCCCTTAGCACCAGCAGGAGAGAAGTCCAGGCCCGCTTCAGGGTGCCTGCAGTGCACCTCGTGGGGCCCTCGAGGGGGGCAGAGCTTCGGGGTGAGCTGTGGCCCCAACCAGTTCTGGGCAGGCAGTCGGGAGGGACTGTTTCAGCAGCATCTTGAACTGCGTTCATGCACGAGGCAAGAACAGCCTCTGCTAGTTGTGCACGGAAAAGCAGGGACTGCGTCTGGCTCTACGTGGCACTTACTTAAAGCGCTGTTCTTTGGAGCAGCTCAGTCATGTTTTCTAAGCGTCAAGAGGCTTACTGAACCGGGGAGCCCCGTGCTGCGGAAGAAGTCGGTGATTCTTAGTCACAGCTATTTCTTGGGAGGCCGTGTGCTGGCTTCTGAGGCCAGTGTGACCAGCTGTGGGACTGGCATGTACACAGGTCCTGAGGCCAAAGAAGTGAAAGGAATGTCTGAGGGTCAGTGGGGCCGGACCAGCGGGGGTGAAAGGACGGTGGGCAGAGGTCAGGCCACGCAGAGTCACCAAAAGTGACCAGTGCTCTCGCTTGTCATTAGGCTTACTCATTACTGAGTGATTTACACTTTCTAAAATGCTATCTAACATATATAATAGGTGAGTTTTTACCCTTTATTTAGGTGTTAACATCCTTAACAAGTAAGATCATAACAGTTTGTACTAGTTACAAAATAATGCATTGGGCCAGCTTGATTTAAGTAGTTAAGTACTTTAAAATTTATTCAGAACAACTTTTCCCCCAGTCGTTTGGGTGTAAATCCTGAAAGTTTTTATTATATCGAGGACAAGACAATAATGAAGGTGGCTGGGGCTGAAGTTGGTTTAGTTGCTGTCTTTAGGAGATTTTTTTTTTCCCTGCGATTTTTCCAAAGGAACAGTGCTTTTATGCTTAATTTGGGCCACATGTTAAACCTGGACCGCATTTATTTGTGAGTACATTTCTTGCAGTAATAAATATGTAGAAGTCCAAGATCGTTAATTATCAGTACCTTAGACCTCATGCATTAATTCTGAGAACAGCCTCTAGGCAATGCATTCCTGATTGGGCTTCATATCTTTTATCAGTGTTTCCGAGAGGGACTTTAAAAAGATGGGGTCGTAATGGAATTTCCTCACAATCATCCCAAACCAATGTTTTCTAGTGTAAATTGATAAATTTTCTCACTGAGGGGGAAGATACCAAAAAAACGGAGACATTGTTCAAAATTATAGCTTCTTGTAGTGAAAAACAGGTACGATGTACTATATGCTTTTGCCTAAAAACTTGTAAAACTACTTTTTAACATTATTTAAAATTGTTTTGCTTGGAGAGCAAGCAAGATGAGTGATTTTTCAGAATGTCATTAAATGATACTGTTGAATGTGACTTGATTTCGGGGGAATGCACTGCGGGAGAGCAATTACTGCCCCGTGTCTGCAGCTACTTTGCTTCGTAGTTGGATGAAACGTGATGTTGGCGATTATAGATTTGTACTTGGCATGAATGAGGGAGAAGTACTTGATGATCTTTTAGATGTTTGGTTTATTTGTGAGGGAAGGAAAGAAATTCTCATTTAGAAGAGAAAATCAGCAAATTATGGCCTATGTAGTTTTTGTATGGTCCATGAGGTAAGAACGGTTTTGCATTTTTTAGTGGTTGAAAGGAAATAAAAGAAGAGTGATATTTTATGCTATATGAAAATGATATGAAATTGAAATCTCAGTGTCTTCATAAATAGATTTTTATTGGCAAGACACACACACGTATACACACACACACACACGCATGCACAAGATGGGGTTGAGAAAAATAAGATGGTTTCACCTTTATTTGGATTTTGGCATATAAAACTGTATTGTGCTGGGCAGAGAGAATTCAACAGTGCTGGTGGCAGAAAGTATTTCATTACTTTGCAGGTACTGCCCTCCCCCGCACCCCTCCCTTTCTATTGTCCCAGGAACAGAGATTTCCTGACCACTGGTCCTGGGTGGTCTGAGAGGAGGTGGAAGACGTGAGATTGGGTATGGTCATGGGTCCTTTTTGTTTTCCTCACGGTCGACTCATGACTGGTGAGAGACAGAGGCCTGAGTTTATGCTGCTAGTGTCACTCTGAATCCTCACAAGGTGACACAGGATTCATTTATTTTCCAAATAGTTCTTAAGTATTTCTTAAGCAGAGGGGAAAAGTGGGAGGGGACAGAGCTGGAGCGGAGACACCACAAACAGAATGTCACATTGGGATCCCAGAAGACCAAGCTGGCCACGACTGGTCTCCCTAGAGAGGCAGTGGCCATGGACACCGTCCTCCCCTGATTTTTATGAATTTTCAGTAATGTGTTATCTTAGTTTTGATTTTTTTCTTTGATCCAAGAATAAAGCTGTTGTGAATGTTTGTGTACAAGAGTTTGTGTGGACTCGCGCATTCTTTTCTTTCTTGGGCAGATACTAGGACCATGAGTGAGTGTTTAGCTTTATGGGA